AAGGATGACCACCAGCGGTGGTCAGACGTCCAGATAATGCAGCCCTGACGCGTTTCGTGCAGTGCACGTTATCAAAGGGTCCTGGGCTTGCATCTTTAATAAACCTAGCTCATACGGTATTACACTATGTGGTGTCCCTTATTGGGCTCTCTTCTATGAGAGTCCCCACTTGCAGAATCTGCCTTAAAAGGGGACCCCGGATGGTGATATGCCTGAGATGCGCTTATGAAACTTGAAGCACATACCCAAGGGGCGATCTGGAAGGTGTAGGATTCTATCCCTATCTTGGCAACGGATGATCGTTTTCTGATATTACAGGATAAAACCTACATGCGTTTTTTTTGACGCACTTCTGGTGAGTGCGTAATTCTTACCTCAGATTCACCGTGTGCTGCACAGAATCTTATCCCACGCACCTACTAGGATCGTTTGGATCCCCACTTCTGATTAATTTTGAGACTATCATTCATCTCACTTGACTTCACCGCAGTGTGATTTGATATTGGCACTTTTGTGGTTTTATATATATTTATATGTTATTATAGCGCTGCACCTTATATATGGTCTCTATATATATATGTCTATGTACTTTATTTGAAGGTTTTCTCTTGGTTACCTTTTGGTGTTCTAGCCGCTTTCAGATTTCCGGATAGCGCTCGCTTTTTATTTATTTTATATATATTTATATAAATATACATATACATGTATAACAAAATCTATGTTAAAATTACTTTTTTTATATGTGAAAACATATCTGAAAAATATATTTTTAAAAATAGTTTTCATATATTTTGTAATATATAAAAAACGCATTTCAACATACAGTATATATATATATATATATACAGTTGCAAGAAAAAGTATGTGAACCCCTTGGGATTACGTGGAGTTTTGCATGAATTGGGCATAAAATGTGCTCTGAACGTCATCTAAGTCACAACAATAGAAGAACACAGTCTGCTGAACATAATACTACACAAACATTAGATGTTGCCATGGTTTAATTGCACATAACATGTAAACATTCTCAGTGCAGGGAGGAAAAAGTATGTGAGTCCCTAGCTTAATGACTTCTCCCAGAGCTAATTGGAGCCAGGAGTGAGCCAACCTTGACTCCAATCAGTGTGATGATATTGGATGTGTTGCTGACAGCTGTCCTGCCCTTAAAAAACACACACCTGTTTTGGGTTTACTGGTTTCAAGAAGCACTGTCTGATGTGAACCATGCCTCGCAGAAAAGAGCTCTCAGAAGACCTATGATCAAGAATTGTTGACTTGCATGAAGCTGGAAAGGGTTACAAAAGTATCCCCAAAAGCCTTGATGTTCCTGTGTCCACGGTAAGACAGACTGTCTACAAATGGAGAAAGTTTAGCACTGTTGCTACTCTCCCTAGGCGTGGTCGTCCTGTAAAAATGACTGCAAGAGCACAGCGCAGAATGCTGCATGAGGTAAAGAAGAATCCCAGAGTGTCAGCTAAAGACCTACAGAAATCTCTGGCACATGCTAACATTTTTGTTGACACATCTACAATAAGGAAAACATTAAACAAGAATGGAGTACATGGGAGGACACCACGGAGGAAGCCATTGCTGGCCAAAAAGAATATTGCAGCACGTTTGAAGTTGCAAAAGAGCACCTGGATGTTCCACAGCACTACTGGCAAAATATACTGTGGACAGATGAAACCAAGATTGAGTTGTTTGGGAAGAACACACAACACTATGTGTGGAGAAAAAAAAGGCACAGCACACCAACATCAAAACCTCATCCCCACTGTGAAACATGGCGGAGGGAGCATCATGGTTTGGGGCTGCTTTGCTGCCTCAGGGCCTGGACAGATTGTTGTCATTGATGGGAAAATGAATTCCAGAGTTTATCAAGACATTTTGCAGGAAAACGTATGACCATCTGTCCGCCAACTGAAGCTCCGCAGAGGATGGGTGATGCAACAGGACAATGACCCAAAGCATACAAGTCATTCAACAAAACAATGGCTGCAACAGCACAGAATACGCCTTCTGGAGTGGCCCAGTCAGAGTCCTGACCTCAACCCCATTGAAATGCTGTGGCATGACCTTAAGAGAGCGATTCACACCAGACATCCCAAGAATATTGCTACACTAAAACAGTTTTGTGAAGAGGAGTGGTCCAAAATGACTCCAGATCATTGTGCAGGTCTGATCTGCAACTACAGGAAATGTTTGGTTGAGGTTATTGCTGCCAAAGGAGGGTCAACCAGTTATTAAGTTCAAAGGTTCACATACTTTTTCCTCCCTGCACTGTGAATGTTTACATGTTATGTGCAATTAAACCATGGCAACATCTAATGTTTTTTGTGTAGTATTATGTTCAGCAGACTGTGTTCTTCTATTGTTGTGACTTAGATGACGTTCAGAGCACATTTTATGCCCAATTCATGCAAAACTCCACATAATCCCAAGGGGTTCACATACTTTTTCTTGCAACTGTATATATAATGAAATATATTTTGAAATATATTGAATACGGCCAAAATTGTAGTATTTTAAATATATGTCAATATATTTGGGAAGAATATTTTTAAAATATATTTAAAATATATTTTTATTCCATGTGGGTGGGTGCACGGAGAAATGCAGGATTTGGCGGAGGCGTTCTGTCCTCCTCCCTTCTGCCGAGCGCTGAGACAAGGTGGAGAGGAGGGGGGTGCCACAGCTGCAGAGGAGGTCTGAATTCGGCCCTCGGGCCTTGTGTTTGACACCTGTGCTCCAGGTGTCCGTTTTCAGAAAATATATCATGTTTTGGGGGGGTTTATGCAATCTTCAGGCCTAAAATTATTTTTTTGAACGTGTGCAAAAAAAAAATGCAAAAACGGCTCTGGCAGTAAAAAGGTTAAAGGGCCAGTGGGAGCACCTGGGGAAACCCACAAAACCACAGGGAGAACATGCAAACTCCATGCAGATGGCGCCCCAACCCTAAATTCAAACCAAGGACCCCAGTGCTGTAACCAATGTTCCTATAAAATTGATGAGTGAAGTCGTCGTAATAAAAATGTGCCCCGAAATCCTTGAGGTTCAAAAGGTAAAAACCCGAGAAAAGGTCCGGACTCCGGAGATGAGAATATTTCATCCCGCCCCGCCGTCCGCACAAAGGGTTACTCGGGCAGCACGATTCAAGTTTTGGCAAGTGGAAGAGGAGAACAATGGTCGGGTCCGGGCCTCATTTGTTACCGCCGCGGCACAATACACGGCTCTGACATTCCTGGGTGACATGTAAAGCTGCCACAGATTAGGAGCGGCGATGATGGAGAGATCACTCTCCCCCCCCCCCCCCACAAACACGAAGTAAATCATTTCGCCGGCTCCGGACTTTTACTTTCTCATCAGATGGAAAAAACAGTTAACAAACCTGTCAGGTTCTGGAGAAAAAAAAACACAAATCGAGGCCTCGGCTGCTCCCGATTTATGAGGATCACTTTTCCCGTACCACGTAACGTGGTCACCTGTTCCTTTATCCATTGAGCCACCTGTCATCTGATGGGGGCCACACGGTGTAAGACTTTGTGTACAATCCTGATACATAGTTAGTCTGGCTGAAAAAAGACAAAAGTCCATCTGGTTCAACCATTAAAAAAAAAAGTAGTGGGTGCCTCCATAGCCAGCTGCTAGCTGTAGGGGTGCCCGACAAGAGGGAGGGGCCAGGGGAGCCTGTGGGGGACCCAAGAAGTCCATCCAGTTGAACCATTTAACCACCTCCCCGTCCGGCCGTTGTATATAAACGGCCAGACGGTGGCAGTGCAGGGTCAGGTGGCCATTTATAAACAACCTCCCCGTTCCCTGCTTGTGCGCGCTCCCTGGGAGCGCGCAGCACCACGATCCGGTGCCCTCTGTGTCCTCCGGACACAGTGGAACACCGATCGTTGGACGGGACCTCTGTGTGAGGTCCCGATCATGTGATCACTGATTGGTCAATCAGTGATCACATGCAGAGTAGTAAGCAAGATGTCATTTCTGACATCATTGCTTACTATCAGGGGTGGACTGACCATTTGGAAACTCGGGAACTGCCCAAGGGCCAGGGGTCAGTAGGGGGCCCCATGAGATGCCCCTGGTACCTTTTTCATAGGCTTTTTTGAGTTTGGGCAAGGACACAGGGGCCCCATGATCCCCAATTGCCGAGGGGCCCCATGAGTTGTCAGTCTGCCCCTGCTTACTATGTGTGAAATCTCTGAATGATCACAGAGATCACATGGTACAGGGCTATTCACAACTGCTTTGTTCCATGTAACAAGCTGCGACCAATCACAGCTCTCACAGTAGTTCTCAATGGCTGCAAGAATGCAGCCAAAGAGAAGGAGAAATGATTGTTTTTACAGCCTTTATGGGTGTAAAAGCAATCAGTGTAAAAAAAATAAATCTTCATCACCCCCTACAAGTAGTACAGTGTCACCATGGTGACACTACTGCTAGGGTGACAGTATGTAAAAAAAAACAAAAATAATAATATAAAAAAATTTAATAAAAATGTAAAAAAAAAGTTTAAAATTATAATTTTTGGTTATAAACTAATTTGGGTTATTTTTTATTTTTTTTTACTAAAAAGATAACGGAATAAATTTTGGCCAAGATTTATGATGAAATATTATTTATTTGCAAAATTTTATAAGAAAAACACTTTTTTTTTTTTCAAAATTTTTGGACATTTTCATTTACATAGCAAAAAAAAATCCCAGCGGTGAATAAATACCACCAAAATAAAGCTTTATCTGTCTCAAAAAATGCTAAATAATTCATCTGGGTGCAGTGTTGCATGAACCGCGCAATTGTCATTCAAAGTGATAGCGCTGAAAGCTGAAAGCTGAAATTGGCCTGGACAGGAAGGGGGTGAAAGTGTCCGGACTGGAAGGGGGGGAAAGTGTCCAGACTGGAAGGGGGTGAAAGTGTCTGGGCAGGAAAGGGGGTGAAAGTGTCCGGACAGGAAGGGGGGGAAAGTATCCAGACTGGAAGGGGGTAAAAGTGTCCGGACTGGAATGGGGGTGAAAGTGTCCGGACTGGAAGGGGGTGAAAGTGTCCGGACAGGAAGGGGGGGAAAGTATCCAGACTGGAAGGGGGTAAAAGTGTCCGGACTGGAAAATGGGGGTGAAAGTGTCCGGACTGGAAGGGGGTGAAAGTGTCCGGACTGGAAGGGGGTGAAAGTGTCTGGACTGGAAGGAGGGGAAAGTGTCCAGACAGGAAGGGGGTGAAAGTGTCCGGACTGGAAGGGGGGGGGAAAGTGTCCGGACTGAAAGGGGGTTGAAAGTGTTCGGACTGGAAGGGGGTGAAAGTGTCCGGACTGGAAGGGGGTGAAAGTGTCCGGACTGGAAGGGGGTGAAAGTGTCTGGACTGGAAGGAGGGGAAAGTGTCCAGACAGGAAGGGGGTGAAAGTGTCCGGACTGGAAGGGGGGGGAAAGTGTCCGGACTGAAAGGGGGTGAAAGTGTTCGGACTGGAAGGGGGTGAAAGTGTCCGGACTGGAAGGGGGTGAAAGTGTCCGGACTGGAAGGGGCTGAAAGTGTCCGGACTGGAAGGGGGGGAAAGTGTCCGGACTGGAAGGGGAACTATTCCTCCCACTGACACCAATGATGGGGCACTATTCCTTTTCTACTCCCACTGGCCTAAGTCCGGCCCCCCTAAAGCCTGGAGGACAGTAAACTGGCCCTTTGTTTAGAAAGTTTGGAAACCCCTGACCTTGACCAATCAGAATCCATCGGTTTTGCTGGAAATGTCGCAGAATGTGATTTTTTTTATAACTTTACATCACTATGATGTCACAAAGGATACCACCACATATTGCTTTTCAGAGGGATGATCAACTCAACCAAGCATGTATACGAGCCCTAATTATTATTATACAGGATTTATTTGCGCCAACAGTTTGCTCAGCGCTTTACAATATAACGGGAGACAATACAGTTCAATACAAGAGGGAAAGGAGGGCCCTGATCCTGGGAGCTTACAATCTAGGGGGGATGGGCTGCTGGTACAAAAGGTAATAACTGTGGGGGATGGACTGGTAGGAGGAGTAGAAGATTCCATTATTAGCTGAGGACAGGATAGGCTTCCCTGAAGAGATCGGTTTTCAGAGATCGCCTGAAAGTGGGCAGAGTAGGTGATAGTCTGATAGATTGGGGTAGAGAGTTCCAGAGGATGGGGGAGGCTCTGGAGATGTCCTGGAGACAAGCATGGGAGGAGGAGACAAGGGAGCTAGAGAGCAGGAGCAGTGCCAGTCAGTGCCACCTAACAGTGTCAGTCAGTGCCGCCTTTCATTGTCAATTATCAGTGCTATATACGAGTGCTGCCTTTCAATGCCCATCAGTGCCACCTACCAGTGCCTCCTCATCAGTGCCCATCAGTGCCACCTATCAGTGCCCATCAGTGCCACCTATCAGTGCCCATCACTGCAGCCTCATTAGTGCACATCAGTGAAGGAGAAAAATCACTTATTTACAAAATTTTATAACAAAAACTGAGAAAAAAATTGTTTTTTTTCCAAAAATTTCAGTTGTTTTTGGTTTGTTTAGCAAAAAATAAAAAACCCCGAGGTGATTAAATACCACCAAAATAAATTTCTGTCTCAAAAAAATGATAAAAATGTCATATGGGTACAGTGTTGCATGACCGCTCAATTGTCATTCAAAGTGGGACAGCTCTGAAAGCTGAAAACTGGCCTGGGCAGGAAGGGGGTGACAGTGCCCGGTAGGCAAGTGGCTAAACAATTCTGTGGTCACCCCTACACACCAGATGGTCATCATCACCAATCCCGGCACAATCAGACAATGATCGAATGTCTTCAGGGACTCTACAACCTCTGCCTGGCCTCAGGAGAAAACTGACCAAATGGTTACAATGTCAAAGTAATTTCCACATTAAACTAAATCTAGCTGAGCTTCATTCATTCTTTGGAAAAAAAACAGTTTGTGAAATAGAAGTCCTCTCCGGCCTTCATGAGAACCATTGTATTTTTTTTTTCTTGAATCTCTGTTGGTTCGGTCAAAATGAAGGAGGCCAAATGCAGCTCACACATATGGAGGACTAACTACTGATCTCCACTATAAATGAATGTCTTCAGGGACTCTACAACCTCTGCCTGGCTTCAAGAGAAAACTGACCAAATGGTTACAACGTCAAAGTAATTTCCACATTCAAAGGAAAAAAACAGTTTGTGAAATAGAAGTCCTCTCCGGCCTTCGCGAGAACCATTGTGTTTTTTTTCCTTGAATCTCTGTTGGTTTGATCAAAATGAAGGAGGCCCAAAACAGCTCACACTTATGTGACTAACTACTGAGCTACACTATAAATGAATGTCTTCAGGGACTCTACAACCTCTGCCTGGCCTCAGGAGAAAACTGACCAAATGGTTAGAACGTCAAAGTAATTTCCACATTCTAAGGAAAAAAACAGTTTGTGAAATAGAAGTCCTCTCCGGCCTTCGTGAGAACCATTGTATTTTTTTTTTTTCCTCGAACCTCTGTTGGTTCAGTCAAAATGGAGGCCAAAACAGCTCACACTTATGCAGGACTAACTACTGAGCTCTGCTATAAACGAGTGTCTTTAGGGACTCTACAACCTCTGTCTGGCTTCAGGAGAAAACTGACCAAATGGTTAGAACATCAAAGTAATTTCCACATTCATTCTAAGGAAAAAAACAGTTTGTGAAATAGAAGTCCTCTCCGGCCTTCATGAGAACCATTTTTTTTTTTCCTCGAATCTCTGTTGGTTCGGTCAACAGTTCACACTTATGGAGGACTAACTACTGAGCTTCGCTATAAACAAATGTCTTCAGCAGGGGCGGACTGACCATTCGGAAACTCAGGCACTGCCCGAGGACCCGGGTCAGTAGGGGGCCCCATGAGATGCCCCTGGTACCTTTTTCATAGGCTTTTTTGAGTTTGGGCAAGCACACAGGGGCCCCATGATCCCCTATTGCCCGGGGGCCCCATGAGTTGTCAGTCCGCCCCTGGTCTTCAGGGACTCTACACCCTCCACCTAGTCTCAGGAGAAAACTGACCAAATGGTTAGAACGTCTCCGGCCTTCATGAGAACCATTGTATTTTTTTTTCCTCGAACCTCTGTTGGTTCAGTCAAAATGGAGGCCAAAAACAGTTCATACTTCTGAAGGACTAACTACTGAGCTCCGCTATAAACGAGTGTCTTCAGGGACTCTACAACCTCTGCCTGCACGGGGAAAACTGACCAAATGGTTAGAACGTCAAAGTAATTTCCACATTAAACTATACCTAGCTGAGCTTCATTCATTCTTTGGAAAAAAAACAGTTTGTGAAATAGAAGTCCTCTCCGGCCTTCGTGAGAACTATTGTAATTTTTTCTTCATCGAATCTCTGTTGGTTCGGTCAAAATGAAGGAAACCAAAAACAGTTCATACTTATGGAGGACTAACTACTGAGCTCTGCTATAAACGAATGTCTTCAGGGACTCTACAACCTCTGCCTGGCCTCAGGAGAAAACTGACCAAGTGGTTACAACGTCAAAATAATTTCCACATTAAACTATATCTAGAGTTTCATTCATTCTTTGAAAAAAACAGTTTGTGAAATAGAAGTCCTCTCCAGCCTTCGTGAGAACCATTGTATTTTTTTTTTTTCCTCAAAGCTCTGTTGGTCCAGTCAAAACGGAGGCCAAAAACAGTTCATACTTCTGGAGGACTAACTACTGATCTCCGCTATAAACGAATGTCTTCAAGGACTCTACAACCTCTGCCTGGCCTCAGGAGAAAACTGACCAAATGGTTACAACATCAAAGTAATTTCCACATTAAACTATACCTAGCTGAGCTTCATTCATTCTTTGGAGAAAAAGAAGTCCTCTCCGACCTTCGTGAGAACTATTGTATTTTTTTTTCCTCGAACCTCTGTTGGTTCAGTCAAAATGGAGGCCAAAAACAGTTCATACTTCTGGAGGACTAACTTTGGATCTCCGCTATAAACGAATGTCTTCAGGGACTCTACAACCTCTGCCTGGCCTCAGGAGAAAACTGACCAAATGGTTACAACGTCAAAGTAATTTCCACATTAAACTATAGCTAGAGTTTCATTCATTCTTTGAAAAAAACAGTTTGTGAAATAGAAGTCCTCTCCGGCCTTCGTGAGAACCATTGTATTTTTTTTTTCCTCGAGTCTCTGTTGGTTCGGTCAAAATGAAGGAGGCCAAAAACAGTTCACACTTATGGAGGACTAACTACTGATCTCCGCTATAAATGAATGTCTTCAGGGACTCTACAACCTCTGCCTGGCCTCAGGAGAAGACTGACCAAATGGTTACAACGTCAAAGCAATTTCCACATTAAATTATATCTAGTTTCATTCATTCTTTGAAAAAAACAGTTTGTGAAATAGAAGTCCCCTCCAGCCTTCGTGAGAACCATTGTATTTTTTTTTTCCTCGAATCTCTGTTGGTTCGGTCAAAATGAAGGAGGCCAGAAACAGTTCACACTTATGGAGGACTAACTACTGAGCCCCGCTATAAACAGTTATTATTTATGTGTTTCTGCTAAAGCGTACGAAGTTCATTTCCAAGCTTGGGGGAAGTGGCAGGAACACGTTATAACTTTTTAAACCCCAGATTTGGAACTTAAATCCCAGATTTGGAATTGGTGGCGCTTCAGCAGTTTAGGAGAGCGTTGTAAATCTCGCTCTTGGGGTGATTATGAGGTGGCAAGAAAAGGCAGACATGTGGAAGAACTTCACCTCGCCCGGTGTTTGTTGACTGTAAGATGGTATGAATATTCACCAATACGCCCAGCTAATCATTACCAAGTCCGGGACAATTAGAGAGCATTTACTCTGCCCCGGGTCCAAGCTCAAGATTTATTGACGTGGAAAGTCAATATTGATTGTGGAACAGGCAGGGTCTTTATAGAGCTCCCGAGACAATACGTCTTGGCGGTTAGTGGAAATAAGTCAATGTTACGCATGACGAGTCAAGCAGACCTTGCCTAAAGAGTCTTCACTGTGAATGTGAAACTAGCATTTAATTGTCGTTAAATAAACCCGCTCTGGGCTGCTCAGGTCCTCGCCAAACAATCATATTGACACAGAACTTAATTATTTTCATGTAAGTTTTAACACATCGGGTCGTTCTTTATGTTCTCCGTATAATAGATTGTGTTTACCCTCAAGAGCACACAAGTGGGCTGGGTGTCGGCTCCTAACCTGCAACATGATTGAAGATGTCACACCGACACCGGGTAATTAATGGGGCGCTCAGGAGACCGCAGTGTGCAAGATGAATTTTGGGGGTTGGATAAGTGGGACTGAAAATCAGATTTATGCTCCAGTGAATGGATTGTAAGAGTCCCAATTATTTTATAAGAGGTGTGTGCCGAGGCTGTTACCATACAGACTGTTAATGCTGTCATTATGGAACATATAAGAAATCACATCACAGAAAAAAAATAGTTGTAGCTTGTAGCCGATGGTGTAAACCCTGGAGCCCAGCCTGTGGCCCCTTGGCAATGTTTGTGTGGTCCTTGGAGCTTCTGGAAACACAAATCGGTGTTTTTCTATCGCTGTGTTATACAGTAGAAGGGATTTCTAGCAGTCTCATGTAATGTGTCTCCACTCTATGGCTGTCTCCTAAAGATTGTCCCTAGTCTCCAACAACTCCTACAGCATGTCTGCAGTCTCTGACCATCTCTTGTATCATGTCGGCAGTCTCTGACCATCTCTTGTATCATGTCTGCAGTCTCTGACCATCTCTTGTATCATGTCTGCAGTCTCTGACCATCTCTTGTATCATGTCTGCAGTCTCTGACCATCTCTTGTATCATGTCCGCAGTCTCTGACCATCTCTTGTATCATGTCTGCAGTCTCTGACCATCTCTTGTATCATGTCTGCAGTCTCAGACCATCTCTTGTATTATGTCTGCAGTCTCTGACCAACTCTTGTATCATGTAAGCAGTCTCTGACCATCTCTTGTATCATGTCCGCAGTCTCTGACCATCTCTTGTATCATCTCCGCAGTCTCTGACCATCTCTTGTATCATGTCTGCAGTCTCTGACCATCTCTTGTATTATGTCTGCAGTCTCTGACCATCTCTTGTATCATGTCTGCAGTCTCTGACCATCTCTTGTATTATGTCTGCAGTCTCTGACCATCTTTTGTATCATGTCCGCAGTCTCTGACCATCTCTTGTATCATGTCTGCAGTCTCTGACCAACTCTTGTATCATGTCCACAGTCTCTGACCATCTCTTGTATCATGTCCGCAGTCTCTGACCATCTCTTGTATCATGTCTGCAGTCTCTAACCATCTCCTGTATTAAGTTCACCATCTCTTGTATCATGTCTGTAGCCTCTGGCCACCTCCTGTATCATGTCTGCAGGCTCTGACCATTTCTTGTATTATGTTCACCATCTCTTGTATCATGTCTGCAGTCTCTGGCCATCTCTTGTATCATGTCCGCAGTCTCTGACCATCTCTTGTATCATGTCTGCAGTCTCTGACCATCTCTTGTATTATGTCTGCAGTCTCTGACCAAATCTTGTATCATGTCCGCAATCTCTGACCATCTCTTATATCATGTCTGCAGTCTCTGACCATCTCCTGTATTAAGTTCACCATCTCTTGTATCATGTCTGCAGTCTCTGACCATTTCTTGTGTCATGTCCGCAGTCTCTGACCATCTCTTGTATCATGCCCACAGTTTCTGACCATCTCTTGTATCATGTCCACAGTTTCTGACCATCTCTTGTATCATGTCCGCAGTCTCTGACCATCTCTTGTATCATGTCCGCAGTCTCTGACCAACTCTTGCATCATGTCTGCAGTCTCTGACCATCTCTCGTATCATGTCCACAGTCTCTGACCATACCCTGTGTTATGTTCACCACCTCCTGTATCATGTCTGCAGTCTCTGTCCATCTCTTGTATCATGTCTGCAGTATCTGACCTTCTCCTGTATTATGTTTACCATCTCTTGTATCATGTCTGCAGTCTCTGACCATCTCTTGTATCTTGTCTGCAGTCTCTGACCATCTCTTGTATCATGTCTGCAGTCTCTGATCATCTCTTGTATCATGTCTGCAGCCTCTGACCATCTCTTGTATTATGTAAACCATCTCCTGTATCATGTCTGTAGTCTCTAACCATCTCCTGTATCATGGCTGCAGTCTCTGACCATCGCCTGTATCATGTCTGCAGTCTCTGACCATCTCCTGTATCATGTCTGCAGTCTCTGACCATCTCCTGTATCATGTCTGCAGTCTCTGACAATCTCCTGTATTATGTACACAGTCTTTGACCATCTTTTATACTATGTTCACCATCTCTTGTATCATGTCTGCAGTCTCTGACCATCTCCTGTGTCATGTTTGCAGTCTCTGACCATCTCCTGTATTATGTTCACCATCTCTTGTATCATGTCTGCAGTCTCTGACCATCTCCTGTATTATGTACACAGTCTCTGACCATCTCTTATACTATGTTCACCATCTCTGTAACATGCCCACAGTTTTGGACCATCTCCTGTACTATGTCCATAATCTCTGACCATCTCTTCATCTCTTATACCATGTCTGGAGTTCCTGACCATCTCCTGTCCCATGTCTGCAGTCTCTGACCATCTCTCTATCATGCCCCTAGTCGTTCACTATATCCTGTTGGGAGTCTGATGTCACTGAATTTTATATGTGGCCCATTGTTGATGTTGTGGGCAGCACTTGAGGCCCCCACACCAAGAACGTTGATCACCACTGCCATAGACTCATACCTTCTATTTTGATAATGCCTCCTGGAGCTCTCTGAAACAGGCTTAGCCAATGGGTAATGTGGTAACCAGGGGCAGACTGACCATTCGAGCACTCGGGCACTGCCCGAGGGTCCGGGGTCAGTAGGGGGCCCCATGAAATGCCCCTGGTACCTTTTATAGGCTTTTTTGGGTGTGTTTTTGTTTGTGGGCAAGGACACAGGGGCCCCATGATCCCCTATTGCCCGGGGCCTCATGAGTTGTCAGTCAGCCCCTGGTGGTAACTGTATAGGAAGAACACCTGTAATGATCTATTCATTACAGTATACAGTATGATCTTCTTTTACTATTACATGCCTTATATTCATATTTATATCCTCAAAATGCAGCACAAACCATCCAATAAAAGTGTCAGTTACAGAGGTTTGGAACAAACCATAACACTACTGGAGGTCCGATCCATTATGCTCCCAATCCGCAGATCCGATCTATCCTGCGGGGATCGTCAACTTGCAAACTATAAGGGGTTAACTGATCTCTCCATGAAAAGGTACGTTTTCAAGCAAGCCGATGATCCCCGCAGGATGGATCGGATCTGCGGATTGGGGATAATGGATCGGAGTCCAATCCATTATGCTCTCCAATCCGCAGATCCGATCCATCCTGCGGGGATTGTCGGCTTGCTTGAAAAGGCACCTTTTCGTGGAGCGGGTCTGGTGTCATCCCCGCAGGATGGATCGGATCTGCGAATTGAGGGGATCCTGTGGGGTTAACTGATCTTGCCACGAGCTCCACGAAAAGGTAAGTTTTCAAGCAAGCCGATGATCCCCGCAGGATGGATCAGATCTCCGGATTCGGGAGCATAATGGATCAGACTCCGGTCCCTTATGCTCAATCCACAGATCCGATCCATCCTGCGGGGATTGTTGGCTTGCTTTAAAACTTACCTTTTCGTGGAGTGGGTCCGGTGCAGGGGCGGACTGACCATTTGGAAACTCGGGCACTGCCCGAGGGCCCGTGGTCAGTAGGGGGCCCCATGAGATGCCCCTGGTACCTTTTTCATAGGCTTTTTTGAGTTTGGGGAAGGACACAGGGGCCCCATGATCCCCTATTGCCCAGGGGCCCCATGAGTTGTCAGTCCTCCCCTGGTCCGGTGTCATCTCCACAGGATGGATCGGATCTGCGAATTGATTATAATGGATCAGAGTCCGATCCGTTATGCTCCCCAATCCGCAGATCCGATCCATCCTGCAGGGATCCTGTGGGGTTAACTGATCTCTCCAAGGAAAGGTAAGTTTTCAAGCAAGCCGACGATCCCCGCAGAATGGATCGGATCTGCGGATTGGGGAGCATAATGAATCGAACTCTGATCCATTATGCTCAATCCACAGATTCGAACCATCCTGTGGGGATCTCTCGGCTTGCTTTAAAACTTACCTTTTCGTGGAGCGAGTCCGGTGTCACCCCGTGCAATAGGTGTCACCCGGTGCGGCGCACACCCCCCGCACCTGCCTAGGGACGCCCCTGCCAGGGAGGTTAACTCTCCGCTGAAATGATTCCAAAATCTGCAGTCCAGAAATCTAATATTTGGGAGATCAGCTCCGGCCTGAAAGTGATGGATAATGATGGCGGAAAGGCGCGCCGGGCTTCGCGTCGTGTTAAGGTCTTGCAGTGAACAGAGCCGTGCCGGGGATAATATAACACACCCTTGGCTGCAGTTTACAGAAAGGCATGCTCCGGGTCATAGGCACCCCATATTAAATTGCACGGATGCGTGCTGCGGATAAAAACAATATTCCGTCGCAGTTCATAAAAATTGCGCCGCGGACGTAACACCGAATACGCCGTATCACGTTGTCGGATGCTATGAAACATAAGATTAGCGCCGAGCAGGGAGCGCGGGAGTCACGCATGCAGGTGCAAGCCAGGAAAATCCATCATCTTCTCTGACAACGCCGTAATCTCGGTGTCACCTGACACAATGATCAATGGAGAAGGTTCCAACACCGTGACCTAATTTTAACATGTGCCTCCTAGATGCCCGAGATTTCCCAACGACCAAATCTTATTTACAGATTTCCAGCACAGATTCTGCTGCTTAATATTTCTTCAATATAACAGCCGAGCAAATCTCAGAGGATTTCTGCCGCTTATTAAAATGCACCGAGAGAGGCGCTGAATCTGATGTTCTCAGAAGGAAATTAACTTGTCGGGGGGCCGCGTGACACAAACCCGTGACAGCGGCGTGCGCATACACACACACACGAGTCCGCACATTTATGGGGTGCTGGTTATAATAAAGGTAGGAAGGTGCTGTTACTGTACTTGTTTACTGAAAGTTGTTTCTTGAACCTTTGTTATACATGTGCTAAGAATACATTCAAAACAGAATTAAATTGTCTTTTTTTTCTTTTTGTTTTTTTAAACACAAACACCCTGAAATTGCAAGTGAAGATGTGTGCATGCACGCCGCAGTTCCGGGTGGATTTTTTATATAATTAGAATGGTTAGTCTACAATTGCCTGAGCTTCGACCTCACTGACAACAACCTTCTTGACCCTTTACTCACCCTAACCAATGGCCGCCACTCTGTACTCACCCTAACCAATGGCCGCCACTCCATACTCACCCTAACCAATGGCCGCCACTCCATACTCACCCTAACCAATGGCCACTACTCTGTACTCACCCTAACCAATGGCCGCCACTCCATACTCACCCTAATAAATGGCCGCTACTCCGTACTCACCCTAACCAATGGCCGCCACTCTGTACTCACCCTAATAAATGGCCACCACTCCGTACTCACCCTAACCAATGGCCGCCACTCTGTACTCACCCTAATAAATGGCCGCCACTCTGTACTCACCCTATCCAATGACCACTGCTCCATACTCACCCTAACCAATGGCCGCCACTCCATACTCACCCTAATAAATGGCCGCTACTCCGTACTCACCCTAACCAATGGCCGCCACTCCATACTCACCCTAACCGATGGCCATTACTCCATACTCACCCTAACCGATCGCCACTACTCCTTACTCACCCTAACCGATGGCCGCTACTCCTTACTCACCCTAACCGATGGCCGCTACTCCTTACTCACCCTAACCGATGGCCCCTACTCCGTACTCACCCTAACCGATGGCAACTACTGTGTACTCACCCTAACCGATGGCTGCTACTCCGTACTCACCCTAACCGATGGCCGCTACTCCGTAATGACCCTAACTAATTGCCACTACTCCGTACTCACCCTAACCGATGGCCGCTACTCCGTAATGACCCTAACCAATTGCCACTACTCCCTACTCACCCTAACCAATGGCCACTACTCGTTGAATCATGGGGGAGCACCTTTTGCTGGCAGAGTTGAGGTTCGGGTAAGTATAAAGGTTTCATCTTTCTACTAGACAAAATGAGAACTTAAAGGTTGAGCTGGTCAAATTTCAAAATCAATGGTGGCACCATCGGGTTGCAAGACGCACAAAATTTCCTATTTTCTAAAGAAATGGAATTCAACCCATGTATGGCCTGCATTAGGTAACTGTTCAACCATTTCTGAGCTGTGAAGCTTGCAGAGCTAAAACCAAGAGGTCAAAAAGCAGAGGTTCCCAGACGTATTTGGCCTACCACCCCTTTACAGAATAAAAATACTCCTCTGGAAATCTCCCTTCTTTTAGGAGAAAGATGAAAGTAGATATACTTACCCGATCCTCCTCTCCTCTCTGCACAAGACAAGTCCCTGCCGTTCCGGCACACCCATGGCCTAGCAGTCTTGAGTCCTGATCTCTTCAAGCCCAGAGCAGCATCCAAAGCCCTTTTCTGGATGTGAGGACACAAGGAACAGTCCATCTCTGAGTCATGGGGGAGTACCTTTTGCCGGGAGAGTGGAGGTTCGGGTAAGTATAAGGGTTTCATCTCTCCCTTGGACAAAATGAGAACTTATCTCTTGCAGTGTGGGCACAGACCCACCTCAAGAGATCATTTGTTTTGTGCCCGGAGTTGGGCTTTAAGACCTGTCGGGTGACTTGGCCATTGATCGGTTATAACTTTTGTGTTTAAGTGACTTTATGTTACACAACACATAAAACATGTCCTAATCTTTCAAAATGTTCTGCTCTTCTATCTATATATGCATCCACCACCCACTTTGTTTTTCTTATTCAAGGTCCCCCACTTGCACCTGAAGCTACTACTGCCTCCCTGGATTGTTCCAGTGCCTCCCAGGGGGTGGTATTGCCCTTTTTTGGGGGGAAAATGATCATGGAAGATCCCAGGTCCTGCATTGTTTGGCTTCTTTCAGACTGCTTGTCACCCTGTGAAAGCAATCCGCAGTGAATCACTTTTCAGAAAAATAATATAGGCTCCAGGAGGTGGCAGCAGTCAGTCGCTGTTCCACTAGGGATCACTTTTCAGAGGGTAGTATAGCAGCAACTGACAGGCATTCAGGTGTTATAGCTGCCTGTTTTTTTTTACTTTTATTTTTGAAATTACCAAACTGCAATTTTACATTGTGCCCAACACAAGTGTAACAGAATGACCCCAGGCTGCGCTTGGGTACTTCCGTTAAACTACAGCTTCCCCGTCCGAACACCGACAACAGACACCACAACAGACCAAACAAGGCTAGATGACACCAGTCTTGAAGTAAACCAGGAGGTAGACTAGTTTATTTTAACACAGATACAAGATATATACACTCAGGGGACAATCCCCCCCTGCATAATGACACAGGGTGAGGCAATCTACGTTTAGTAACAAGAGACACACCAACAGTCCCATCAGGAGGGAGGGCTGCTGGAGACACTCCCCACCAAGCCAATACACAAACACATACATCCCATAATAGTTTGCTCCCAAGTCAGACACACAATAGAACAATGGGATGCAGCCACATAACATCAAACAATCAACAACCCCCCCACCCCAATATTAGGACAGATCACCCTGTACCCCTAACAGGCACAGGGTGATTTACACATAAGAGAGATATTGACCTTGACTATTGTAACTCCCTCATTGGCCAACCTCATCGCAGGCTATCCCCTCTTCAGTCTATCATGAATGCT